CCCCTTAACCCTTCAATATCGCTTCTGAGTACCTCACTCTACATCCTTTTTATCTCGCAAATTTCTCTACAAAAACAGCTTTACTTTACTAAATACACTTTGCCAAATACAATTTAAAGAATTTAAGTAAATAATAATTTGAAAAAAATACGTAGAAGCGTTAGTAGTTGAATCAAATAAATCAAGGCTAAGAATAGGAGTTGGTTTTTCAAAAGAGGACTTTGACTAGTTCTTAACATTGAGTCAAGAAAACGTCGAGGCCAAAAATCAAGAAACTGAAATAGCCTTGATTTAAACTCTTAATAAATGTAAAGGGTAGTGCCCAAATCCATCCTAATTTCCAATATTATATTTATTAAATTTACATGAAAATTATAGGATCATCTATAACTTTTGTTAATGAACTAACTAAATGTATTGTGGATTTGTACGACTTAGTTAATGGTCAAGGTGATCTGCCACAAGAGATGATTGCCTTTGTAGAAGATAAGAAGAAAAAAGAGAGAATGCCGCGTCCACATAGGGGTAGAAGTAAACTGAGTGCATTCACAGGTGGCTATTATGGTGAAGGATCGTCGCAATATTTCACTGAAGATCCAAATATGTATACTCAAGAAGTCGAAAAATATAATGAAATTGAGGTCAGAACCCATGACCCAGAATATTATGAAGAATGATTTTCTTTTCTAAGGGGTAGAATTTTTATAGGAAATCCAAATGCTTTTCTATTAGAATGAAGGGGAAGTAATTTTTTAAAATTAAACCCCAATTTATAACCACGTTCCCGATCCGAAAATGATTAAAAATAAAATGCTCGGATTAAAAGCTTCGAGTTTTTTCGGATTTTTTATCCAATAATTTTATCCAACAATAGAAAATTTTTCACTCAATCATGCGCTCCGACCCAACCCCCGAACATATTCTGCTCCTCAAACCCGAACAATTTTAAAACGTCCTGACATAACCTTCCACGAACGTTTGGTGAACAAAATATTGCAAATATAACAATTTAGTCGTATAATTTTAAAACAACGGAAAAGCATTATTTCCTAGTCATAGATGGGATCTAAAAACAAAACAAACTTTTATTATAATTTATATCTTTACTATTTATACTTTTTTGCTAGAATTTTGCTAATTTTCTTCCTTCAAATTTTTCATTTTTTACTTTCTTCAATTTTCTTATTAAAGTGTCCTTAGAATATTTCTTTTTTCTATTAGTTTTATTGCCAAGCAGAACCGAGCTGTTATCGGCTGCTTTACTTTTATTAGATAAACTTTTTTATTTAGTGTAATCGGTTATGTGAATTACCAATTGTTAATCAAGTAATTGGTGATAATTGCCCTCAGATAATTTATTTTCTTTCAATGGAGGGGGAGGTAGTAATATTATTCATAATAATTTCTCTAAAAATTTTTTAATTTTAATTTCGAAATAAACGGGAGAGGCCTTTCAGTTAGATGCCGAATTTTTTAAAATGTTTTTAACTTAAATATTAATCAGAATCTTTTCTATAAGATCAACGGATAAAAAATTTTTGGTCGGATTTCCCCCGAGATATGAATTTTAAAAAACACAGCTAAAAATTTTAACGAACCTAAAAATGAAGATTTCTAAAATAAAAATAAACAGAAATGGGTCCAAAAATGAGAAAAGAATTGTGGACTTTCTTTTTGAAAATATTCCCTTGGTTTTAAACTTATGTACATCGTGAGAGTATTCGAAATGATTTATTTCTCAGATATTAAAGAATGAAAAGAAATCGAATTAAAAAAATTTCTAAGGCAACAGAAGCGGGGGAAAAGTTTTATGCTAATGTTGAATCAAGCATCTTCAGAATTTATTTCGAAAAATTTTGCGGAAAAGTTTGAGATACTATCGTAACACCATTACACAACACATTGGTGACAAAATACCACTTTGAATTTGTGGTATAACTTTAACTCTGAAATCCATGTTTTAATCATTTTAGAATTTTAATCTATAGAAAAATCTAGAATTGAAAAGAAAATAATAAAAAAAATAGTATGTAGTAAATATTAAAAAATAAAAAAGGGAGTAGAAAACAAAACAAGTGAAAAAGAAACAGCGAAAAATCTAAAAAACTGAAACATGATGCCAAAATTTTTAACATTTTGACAAGTTTTAATAAAATTTAACAAAAAATGCCCAAGTATGAACCAAAATATGAAAAAATTTCCAAAATATGTATCAATATGCAGATATGGTCGAAAGGACCAAGATATGATCAAATATTCAATAAGAACCGGGTCTAAATTGCTCGAACCATCATAAAAACAACATTTTAAACTTCTCTAATCAAGGCATATCCGCATACAAAATATGCATTTTTATGTCTACCCAACCCTAATAATGACTTAAATCCCTTTTAAATAATTCCTTTTTCTAAAAGTTAAAAATGAAAAGAAAATTTTCAATAATATTTGTTTTTGAATTCCTCTAGAGTTTTTTCTTTAACGAGCTCCACCTTCTTCTACTTGTTCTCTGATAAAATTAAGATTAAATTTTTGAGTGAAGTTTAATTAAAATTCGTTCAAAATCTCACAATGATTTCCCGAATCTTCACTTGAATAAACTGTGAATTTCTGAGGATGCTTTGGTTGACGTGAAGATTCTCCACGCGATTTGCGCTGTCGACGTCCTTAAATAGTAAAGCAGAGCTGGGTTATAGCTATTTCCTCCTTTAGCTAGTGCAAAAGGTTATTCGACGGCTGGGAGCGAACAAACATCTTCAGGAGACCGGACCAGGGGAGTGTCCCCCGATATCCCTCTTAACCCACAATTATCTGTGGATTTGATGAATAAAGTTTGATTTGGGGATATCGGTTGTTTAGTTGGATTAAGGTGGATATCTATAGATTTGAAGTCTTCTCATGATTTCTGAGATGTTTAAGTCTCGAATCTACTACATAGCTTTATGTGCTTATTTTCATTTAATAATAGAAATTTTTTATTTCGCCCACCCCTGATCGGACTGATGTGTTAGGAATTAAATAGATATAGTATGCTTTCCAATCTTTTACCAAAACATAGGGAATACTTTTATCGTCACTAAATTATCAATTCAACATTAAACCTCTAGCTACTATAATGGGTTAAAATAACTCTCGTTCAGAAAAAATCTAACGTTTAAGCGAGTATCAAGAAAAGCATGTGGGACTTGCTTGTATTTACGAACTGAAAAATCCAAGTCTGACCGATTTATTAAATTAATTTTGCATAAACAATAGCAAACCTTTAGGTGGAAATTCAATCCAATCTAATAAAATAAAAATGATTACAGTACTATGAAATAAATACAGTAAATCTTCTAATAGAAGCACACCTCTAATATAAGCACACTACGAGGGGATCGAAAATAGAAGCACTGTGCTTCAAATGGAAGATTTACGGTATCTATTAACAAAAAATAATTGCGGAAAGTAATATTTTTGGTTAAAGGTGTTCCTCAACCCCGATTCACCTACTCATCTCCCCCACAAAAAATAAACGTCGAGCAACGCAGACAAAAAATAAAATCTCTAATCTACTCAAAAAAGGATTTTCTTAGTACCTTGGACAATAGTCTGTGCATAATCTTCATGAAAAATATGCTCCATTCGCCGATCAACATACAAATTATAATTATCCAACACATATAAATAATCTGTAGTAATTGTTTGTTCATAAGTGAGTAATTCACACTCGAATTCTTTTGACTCATTGTTAAAATTAATTTTGTAAGCATTTACCATATCATTTGAATGAATTGCTGGTGGACATGTCATTCCTATCTTTATATATTAAAAAAGTTTATTTTAATTTAATATATTATGTACAAGTCAGAACACTACGGAAAATAAAAGCTCAATTATTTAATAAGATCTTCAATAGAGATGTCATAAATAGAAATTTTTCTAGATATAACTTATCAAAATAAAATAAGCCTTAATTGGATCAAAACACATTAAATTTTAAAGAAACTCTAGACACCCAAACACACAAGCCTTATTAATACATTAAAAATATATGAATAACTACAGCCCGACATCACTATAGAAAGGTTGTAGGATAGTTGGAAATCCTTGAATATCCGGATCCGACAACCCTACACTATAGTGCATTCTACTTTTCCGACCCAGACCTAATTCATCAGGACCAGACCCCTATTGTACTTCCTGAACTTCCTTCAGTTTCTGGATACCATTTTTTAACCCAAGGTGTACAAGTCCGATTGTAGTTATTATTTTATTTTTTTAAAATAAGTCGGCGCAAATATCGCGGTGCATAAGTCGCTCGGCGCAAAAGTCGCTCGGCGCAAAAGTCATGATACCATATCCAGTACTTATTTCAGAAACAAAAATTGGAAGGGTATAAATTTTATAACATTCCTTACAATTTTATAATTTTTGTCATATTGAGGACGATGGGTGTGCTCAACATTTGAATATAAATCATCCGAAATGTTGTAATCAGGATCCACATGAATTTTCCCTCTACACTTGTCTGCACCTTTAACAGTATATCTTGCACAAACCCAAAGGTCTCTTGAATGATGATAATAGATATTGCCATTATACTTGATTCCTGTCTTATTATAAGCTGTTTCTTTAAGTTCTATCTAAATTTTTAATGTAAGATTGTTTAAGGGAAAGGGCCTTTTAAATCTTCCCAAATTCGTAAAGTCTGGTCTAGTAGTAATGGGTCCTGCTTAGATTCAGCAGGACCCATTACCTTATTCGCAACCCCCTGGTACTTATTCGCAACTGAATTTTTCTGTACGTATTCAGATAAACTTTATTTATAATATACTTTTTATGCCAAAAATCGTCCTGTCACCCTTTGTTTTGAATATTTTGAAACCTTGTATCTCGAGCCTCAATCGCTTTCTCACAAAAGAAATGATACAATTACGCTTGAAGTATAGGGGCAATCGAATATATACGTTTCAAACAGAATCAGATATGTTTCGAGGGGCTAGGAATGTGGACTTAACCTCCTTCTATTTCAAAAAATGGATGAAAACTGCGCAGTCTCTTTGCGGAATGTAGGGAAATAACGGGTATACATATTAGTGGATTTGAATTTGAGCAGATATAAACTATTAATATTTTTTCCTAACCTTGTAATCAACCAATAAAGTATATTCACCATTCGGGCAAATTAAAGTTTTCACATAATTTGTTGATTTAAATTCCCCGTTTCCTTCCACATCGTCTACATTACTATTAAAATTGGCCACAAAATTTGAATTATCCGTATCTTTACATTTAATCATTATACTATTTATTTTTTTAATAGATTCAGCAGGACTAGTAGGCCAAATAAAAATTAAAACACGAAGATTATTAAATACATTAATCATGGTGTTGAAGAAGTATTCTTCTCCTTCCACTTTGATGTATTTAATATATTTTGTAGTGTCTTTGCGAAGAATGATGTGAATTATTGTATCATTTTCCAGTATTTCTTCTATTGTGCCAAGATCCGTCTGAAGGAATTTTTTAATTTAATAAATTATTGAATATAAGTTAGTTTTATCCTTAATCGAATCACACCCTGGTCATTGTAGGATCACGATAGGATGTGAACCTAGCCTAAACACATTTTTAAATACTAGCAAAATGTATCAACCCTTCCTTACACTAACTTTAATAAGCCCATAAATTGTTATTTTCAATGTAAAAGGGCCTGCATTTAGATTCTCAAAGTGAAATGTATCGTTTATGTCAGTCAATCTTGGATTGCCGAACTGATCTCCATTCAATTCCAATTTAAATCTTTCGTCCTCTTCTTTAGCCAAGCGTTTGTAATAATTTTCTCCATTTTCTCCGTTATCTCGCCAAGAAATTTTTACAAAAATGGAATATGGAGAAACAAAGTTAAAAAGTGAATTGAAGAAAATAAATAAAAAGAATAACGACATTCTCTAAATATAAATAAAAAATATAAATTGAAGATAAAATAATGATTTGGAAATGGAATAGTGGAGAGTAAAGGCAACTAAAGGTGGATTTTGCGTAAGAGGAAGAGAAATTTATTTGTTAATAATGTTATCCACGGACTCAAGAATCGATACTTCAATTTCACAAATTCCGACCCCGACCATAATTCTCAAAGTTTTTTATATTTATTCCTTCCCAGCTTATTTTTACACTAAATTCCCCAAGAAATTCTAAAAACAAGCCATGCTAATATGAAGAATTCAGGCAAATGACTAAGGATTTGTGAAAACAAAAGGAAAAGAAGATTCGGAAGAGGAAATGTCGTCAGAATTGTATTCCAAATTAAATTTCTTAATTCAAGAATTCGAATTCGATTTGTGGAAGGGTAAGCATTCGCGCTTCCTGGTATGAGAAGCACAAGTCATTCTTCGACTTAGAAGGTAATCCGTTAGCCGAACTGTAAAAGTCAGATTATTATTAAGAAAATTAAAGGGTAGTGAGTATGCTAAGATATCACAGAAATTAATGCCCCAGAAATTAGATTGGATGAGATTCGATATTCTCGTTCAAGAATTAGATAACGAATTCAGTGTCCATCGGTCCAAATTTGTGAAACGATTCGAGGCTATTAAATTAAGATGCATGTCTCTGTATTGAGAAAATATTAGATTTTGGGACAATGTTAATTCTGATTGTGGAAATGGCTTTAAAGGTCGAAGATTCGAAAATTCTTATTTTCATTGCAGGGATTCCTGATGAGACAAATTATCTGCGCCAAATTTGTTCGCGATTCGTCGAACAAAATTATAATTCGGAATAGTGTACATTCAAACAATTATTGGAGCAATGTCGCAGCTAGCTCGCAACAAAAGAAGAAGCAAAGATTTTTGAAAATATTCAAGAAATGGTAAAATTAAACACGATTATTCATTTGAAGTAAATAATGTTAGTAAATTTCCTATTCAGAATCAGCAGATTATTCAGAATTCTAAAATTAAAAATGATTATTCGGAAGACAAATTCGTCAAAAATGACTATGAAAAGAAAAGATTAAACCACGTAAGTCAATTCAATATATATTTAAACAATTATTCCGATAATCAAAATAGATTCAGAGAAGATATTCAATGTTATAATTGTGGTTTTATTGGATATTATGTAAATGTACATGTAGGTGATAGTATGATCCAACTAGACTGACGCTTTCAATCTAGTTGTATCATATATCTCTAAATATTTATATTATATATATCACTTTACAATAAGTTGGGCGGATCCGGATATACGTATCCGTAAAAAGCTTCAGAAAAATTTTGGTTCGGATCTCAAGTTTTAAATTGTTCATATCAGTGTGGTCCTTTCCAAATCACCAAAAAAGTGCATGGCTGCTCAAAAAAGGGGCAAAACACACTTTATCCTAAAACATCACGCCCAAAGTCCTCGATAATTGCTTTAAGATTTAAACATATTTCCTCTTTTTTCATGCCGCAGGAAGAAAATTTTTAAAATTTGCAAGGACAGTCTAAGTTCCTCCGATTATTGTGTCAGAAATGTGCAAAATTTAAAAGCCGCAACTGCAGTTCGCAAGTAAAATTTTGAAAAAATTTAAAATCATCCAATTTTACGCAATCCGCGCAATAAGGCGCCTAACAATTCGCAATTGAAATTTTTTTCGTAATCGCAATTCAAAAAAAATTTCGTAATCGTAATTCGAAATTCAAAAAAAAATTTCGGAATAGTAATTCGTAACTCAAAAAATGCCGTAATTCGTAATTTAAAAAAATATTTAAATTAACCTTTTCGTCCTCTACCGCGAATTACTCTACATGACCTTCTATTATTTTAGAATTATTTTATGAAGCAGAGCCTATATTATGGACTTATCTCAAATTTCAACACCGAACTCTAATAATAGAGTAAGAGAAAAATAAGGCAGTTATGTTTTCGGTAAAAGTCCAGCTCGCTATCTATATGTCCGCAAAAGGCATTTCTGCAAAAAGCATTTTTGCTGCTTTCTCCTCCTTACCGTTTCTTTTCTTTGATTGGTTGACATCTTGGCGCATCTACTTTGGGGAGTAAGTCATAAAAAAAGTTTAAGTACAAATAATTAAATAAAAATTAAAAGAATATAAATTTGCAAATATTTTATAAAATTTTATTTAAAAAAATTAAAACACCTAATTTTTTAAACAATTCCTTAAAAAATAATTGTCTTTTAAATTTTAATAAAATTTTAAAATTTATGAATGTAGGTGTTGAAAAGTAACATTTTTTAATAAAAAAAGTTTTTAATTATTTCTATTAATTGTTTATTAAGTAATTTGTTATTCTTTATTTTTCAGAAATTTTTCTTTAAAAAGAATTTTTCACAAATTTATATTCTTTTAATTTTTATTTAATTATTTGTACTTAAACTTTTTTTATGACTTACTCCCCAAAGTAGATGCGCCAAGATGTCAACCAATCAAAGAAAAGAAACGGTTAGGAGGAGAAAGCAGCAAAAATGCTTTTTGCAGAAATGCCTTTTGCGGACATATAGATAGCGAGCTGGACTTTTACCTATGTTTTCCTAATATAAATTTAAATAAAAGTTACAGATTTAATTAATTTCCACTTTTCAGTGAGTCGATTTTAGAGAGTGCGACCCTTTGTTTAAATTCTCTAAAACACTACCAGATATTGTTTAATACATTCATTTTAAAAGAGTTCTATCTTAGAGATGGGCTTCTAATACCAAAAGAAAGTCTCTTTAAAAGAGTGTCTCTTCCCAGGGAGCATATCTTAGAGAAGAACTCTTTCATAAGGGGATATTTTAAATAATTAAATGTGGAGAGTTATAAAAAATAAAATTAAAAAATAAAAAAAAATATTTAAATGAATACGTAAATTAATAATTTACAATTAAAGCAGGCTCGCATAGGTTAAGGTAAATAACTCCCCTTAACAGCGCCTCTTTTTTGCCTTTACACCTCTCTAAAATTCGACTGTCATAAAAATCAAGACAGAATATCACCTTTAAATAAAATTTAAATAAATATTTAGCTATTATTAAGGATTTCCAAATGTTGATTAACCTCAAGCAAGGATGTTTTACTCGCCGTAATGTAAAATCGCTGGATATCTTGTACCGCTAAGGGATTCATAAGGATTAATCCAAGGGATTCATTCTAAATTGGGATTCTAGTGAGGAATTTAATTCTCTAAATCTCTCTCTTTCATAATGGCATAATAAGTTATGTATTACTAATCCAATTCTAATTAAATCCCTCATTTCAAAATAAAGTGAAAAAATTTTTATTTTGAAAGGCCGTCGAAGTTTCTTCACAGTCTAGCAAATAAAACGAAAATAAAACTATCAGTCGGAAGTTGGATTATTAATGCAGCTTGCAACAAATTTATCTCTTAGCTCTCAGAATTAATCCCCACCATTTTAAATATTTATTTATTTATCAGCAAACCACAGGTATTTTAAAATACATTAAAGTGGTGCATAAAATACATTAAAATATCCAAAATACATTAAAGGTTTTTGGATATTTATTAATGAGTAATGTTTTTGGAAAAACGAATCTTTTTAATTAAAACAAATTTTTTGAGTTGATCAGTCGCTTGATCACCCTGTTGAGGGGATAAAGACGTGTAATCGATAGCTTTATTAAGGAATAAAGATAGTCGCTAACGGAGAGGCTAATCCAATATACATTAATAGAGAAAAAGCGATATTGATTAAACATATACATACATACATGTAGAAATAATTGATTTACTTGACTATACTTTTTTAAAAAATTTAAAATAATGTTTGACAAAACAAAAAATTGTTTTTATTTTTGATGTTTGATTTGTTTCATTTATTATTTCATTTTTATTTCCTGCGAGTGGCGATTAGAGAGCGTAATTTTGAAATAACCGGAATCGGAACCGGGAAATTTCCCGGGCAAAAAATGACCGGTTCCCTACAGGGAAACAAGAAATTTTTAAAAAGGGAATTAAAAAATTTTTTTAAAAATCATTTTAAAATTTTAAAAAGTTTACGTTGATTTTACGTTGATTTTGATGTCATTCGAATCAGCTCGACAATCTCCTTCGAATGAGCTATTATTTGTTTAATCGAATTTTTAGCCCAAAAAATGAGCTTAGTCCCCCCTTTTATTTTTCAATTTTCGGGTGTCTGTATCTCGGCCCAAGGTTAAGACCGGGCGTTGATTTTGGTGTCATTCGACACAGCTCGGCGAGTTCTATAATCTGATAACAGACTGACCATTTTTTAATACTTTGAGTAAGGAAAAAGGAGGGGGGTACGAACCCAAGAATTACCTTTTATCGTAATGATTAATAATGGTTAGGCAAAATAAAAATGTTATTTTATAAAGAATTCATCTGTTTGCGGCTAAAAAGAATTCATATAAAGAGTTCATCT